AAAATTTCAGTCAGTAAAAGAGCCAGTATCCCATGTTCTGGGAAACAGATCAATTTCGCTGGAGTGTTTTGTGTGGCTTTCGTGCGTTGAGTTCACAACCTTGCTATTTGGAGAGTGCACGCATATCACTTCTGCGTCCAGAATGGTGGACCAAAAGGAATTTGACGGCCTCTGTGGTCTTGAAGCTGACATCTAATATATGCTCCATGATACTAAAATCAATCATTTGAGGAAAAAGAGAGAAACCCATCTCTAATCATGGGACTAGCGGAGTTTGAACTAGGGGGCATAAACGTTTTATTGATAGCCTCCAGCGGAATTCTGAAAAGCAAGACCTTCATTCTAGTTGAGGCAAACATTCGCTAGTGGACCAAGAGGTTTGGAGGATGGTCAGCTGGGCGGTGATTAGAAATATTGAGATAAGACGACAAAATGGGCAATGTACTCGGAATTTTAGCCATCACCATGTGAATTTTCGCAACTTGCAGCCAGACCTGCCTTGACCCAGTCCATTTAACCTACAGTATTCTAACCGTCAAATGTAAACAGTTAGACTGAGGCAAGTTTTCTTGACTTCCAAATATGTAGCTGGCGAACCGTTTAGTCAACTTCACCAACACCGCCCAAACTCTGTGATGGCTCCCAGAACCATATTGTGGTAGGAAGGCAGAAGGTACTTCATGAATGACACTTGAATTTCATTGATATGCTGATAATACAAACGCACGCCTCTGCACGATTCTCTTTTTTTTCTTGTGTCTACACTGGCACCAATGAACAGTACCACATTCGGCTCGCCTCGACCGTATCATATCTTACAAATGCATGTGTTAAGTGGTTTAAACGCTGCTTGACGCCATATTTGTTTTGGCTGGTGTGATTTCTGTCCTCCTTAAATGTGATTCTATCCACAAGATTTGGTAGCGTAACCCATTACAATGAAAGTTGAAATTTTGACAACTAAAAATATCACGTTAGTAGATCCGTACCCATATCACGGCAGGCCCGTGGACTGAGTGTGGGAACAGTTGTTACATTCGCCCCAAAGCGAAGTTTCAGTATGATGTCCATGAAGAGTGTAGTATTAACGCATTGCCGCTTATCAGCCTGTAAACTGTCAACCTGGTAAGGAAATGTTGCAAAGAGCACTACTTCATGCAATGCCTATTTTAAAACTGAAATGCAACATTTTTTAAAAAAATGTTGGTCGCAGTCGAGAGTTAGTGTGACTATGAAATCTAGTATGTCAACCTAGGAAGCCGTTTATTCCATACATCAATTTGTTGGCGATACTCGTTGTGTAGCTCTCAAAGTAAAAACGACTGACGTGAAGGACACTGTTGATTTAATATGATTATTCTGTGCAAAATTCAGAACAATAAAACAAGTGGTTTCAGTAAGATTTAGGTTTCTTTTATAATGTACCAAAAAACAATCAACTGTTTGCAACTGTTTGGAAAAATATACTTCGATTTCACACAGGCCGGTGGTTTAATACCATATTTTACGGGTCTGTTTGGTATAACTATGTTGGTCATCCCTAAAATTGGGTAGAGGTAACTGCCGTTTAAACTGGCAACTGATTGAACATAAATATTTTTACTATAAAGTTTAATGATGCAAATTGTTGTCTACCGCGTTTTCCATATGTAATAATAGAAGGAGGGGCGGTGCTTCTAACGAAGTAATTAAAATACTTACGCTGTTTTCCAAATTTAACTGTCATTTTTGAACGGTTTTTAGTTGTGCGAATTTAGCAACTGGTTTCAGAGACAAATAAGTAAAAGATGGTTTCAACTCATATAGACGTAACACACTACGTCTGAATGCCGGCTGATTCTCCCGTCTATGAAGATTTTCTTCGGAAACTGCGCCCCCTGCGAAGAAAGAAGTAGGTCGTAGGCTACCAAATAGTCACCAAAAATCTTATTAGTAGCGTGCTACTTCTAAACAATTCATTGCGATATCCTACATTTTGTACTAACTGAAACATGAGGCAGGCTGGCACAGCACATTCAGGTGAAGAACAGCACCATAAACGAGTGACTCAGCTAGGATTTCGGTGAGTATCTTGTAAAAACCAAGTTGATATGTAATTTAAGGTATCTTCCAAAATTGGTTCTAACTTATTCAGTCAACTCATTGTACGTCAGAAGCCGTTTTTTATTCTGTCCCGGTTCTACGGTAACAGTCAGATCCGAGACTAGACCTTTTCTTTCACGGAACGCTCTCAACAGAGCATTAGGTTACATACCGGAGATGCTGATCCACGGAAAAGAAAAATTCGGCAGACGCTGGAACTGCAAAGTTAAAGTAAACGTTGAGTAAACGAAAACATACGACTGGTAAGTAGGTAAGTACTATAGGTATTCAACATAGTATTACGACTGAATTGAGTTTTTACATGTGATTTTGTGGCAAAATGCGTAATCGGGATCTTTTCGACCTTACCAAAACTGTAGATGTGTACAGATTTAGAAGAATAGTGGTAAACGCACTAATTTTTAAGGCCTAAATGAACTACAATGAAACTTTGAACTTTCAGGCGACCTCCTTGCTGACAATTCTTAAAGAAATATTCACACGATCGCTCAAAACGTACATCAAATACACGGGTCAACGAAGAGGCGAAGTCTAACTTGGCTATATTATTTACGGCATAGCCTGTGCACCTGTGTATTCATTAGCGTTTGACGCCGTTGAGAATCCTTAACCACTACACTTTCAGAACAATTAGTGTTAAATGCCGTTGTGGAACAAAATTTGTATCCTCTGTACTCATCACGCAGTCGGGTAGACAGTCAATCAATTCTCACTGAAAGGTTTTGTCCTAGTGCACATTTTGGACTGCGGCTCAGTAGGACCACATGCTTGAGACTAAAGGACGGACACACATTACATAGACCTCAAACTAGCGGAGCGGAAGTACTAACCCTGGATTCGATTCGTTTAATTTGATCTGACAAGAGGACCAGATACAGGCCACGTGAGTTAATCAAGTACTGGTGAAGCTAAATCTGCCAATGTTACCGATTTGTACCCCCGAATGATCCCTATCCATCTTGTCTGCAATTATGATCAACCGAGAAGCAACATATAAGTGCAAAATCAACTGCTTGCGCTCTCCACAGATTTGAATAATTAGGTAAATGAATGTAGTAAAGTGAACGTGCTACTGCACACTTCGCGAAACCAAGGCTTATTTTGGTTAGGTCATTGTTGCTAAATGAACAAGCAAGCAAAAGACATATCCTTAGTAAGGTTCTCATACCAATACATAACTGCTACCGGAAAAATTCCTCATTAAACGGGAGCTCCGAATACATATGAGGGCTTCGACTACTGATTTAAGTGTTTGGCAGATTTACCTTACGCCAACAGCCACGCAGATTCTGCAGAACTGCATTCAAGCACATTGAATACAATTGCACTGCATCACGTCTCAAAAGACTGAATCGCCCATGATTTTCAGAAGTCGCATGGGTTTATGTTTAAAGTTGACCGATGCATGCACTCAATTCTGCCAAAAGTACCACGTAAAATATGACAGATTTTATATTTTCTCGCAAAAGGTTTTCATTGAAAACAGCCCCTGCATATAACATAGTGTGGAAAGTTCTAGGTACTCGTACATAGCAATAATCCACCGAACGGTACATTAGGATACTCGAGGAAACAAGGCCTCTAAAATACCCATCTGTGGGAACCTACGGTAATCTCCTGCTCTACTGAATGACTGTTCTTGTTCAAAGTTATTTATTGCGATCCGTAGCTTTTTAATAGCACGCCCTTCGAATTTTACTCATCACAACGAGGAGCCTGTTATCCTAAACGTTTTCTTCAGTAAGGTCAGACTCCCCTGTTTTTTACAGTTTATGTCCGCAACGCTTTTTCAACGTCTTCTGTCGTTGAAAATTGGATTTTCGGGTTTGCTCAAAAAGAAAGGAACACATAGAAAGCAAACGTACACCCCTGCGACCAATGCTGCTATGACCATACCTGACCAATGCTTCTACTTATAGTACGGTATCACACACCTTGGGGTTTTTGTGCCATTACTAAACCATGATTAAACTCAAGGACACCCAGATAAAAAGCTCGGACGATGTCAGAAGTTTCTTACACTACATTGCGTCCTTCACCACTAACCGACGAACTTAATAAGACAAAACACAGACGATACTTTTGTCATTGTGAAGCAAAATGCTGTAAGACGCACACGAAACGCTCAGCACGATATTTGAAGGTATCAAATTTACAGCCAGAAATAAGATAATACGATTTCTAGAGGTACTCATGTGCACACACGCGGACGGAAGTCTTCAAACGTGTGCATATCAGAAAAGACACACTGCCTAAATTCTACACTACCACTAACTACACTAACACACATCAAGAAAAGTCGTGTTCCAATTCAGGTTAAAAGAGCTGGGACCAACTGCAGTATAGCGGAAATCAGATGAAAAGAAGAGAATTACCTCAATAAAGGAAGCTACTCACAAGGTTGCTGAAAACTCTTCGACAGCCCACGACCGGTTTTGTCCTCCTTGGGGCTCGTCAGGTAGGCGCAGTCCCCGAGTTTCTTTCAACCTTATGTTCTACCTGGATTACCTCTGTCTTACATCTCAATACAGCGGATATCCCAGGAGCTTAATCAAGGGTAGACCAATGAAAAAACTCCCCAACAACATTAAAAACATCAAGATCAACCATTCGAATGGATAGTCCTTCCGCACAATAAAAAGTTGTCTGAGTTCGGGGCAAGGCCACTACCACAGACACTTAGTAATTCACGCTTTTTTTGTCAGCTCCTCAACGATGAACCTTGCAAGTCTTCACCAACGTGATTACTTTGGAAAGGCAAGATGCATCATCCCCCCATAGAGAACACCAGAAATACCACCGGAAGTTCCTGAAGTCATACTTCCATAATGTTAACGCATACATGTTTTTAAAATCTAATAGACAGAGTTATTATGGTAGAAATGTACAGAAATTGTGTTAAGGACAAGTGGATTTCACCGGAAATATGTACCGGATTTTTTCCAACATAATGACTGCGCTGTGTCGAATGGTATTTACACTAAATTTGCCAGCAACATACAGCTCGGATAAAACCCACGGAGGCAAATAACAAATGCACAGAATGAGAAATATTTTTTGTTCAGTATGATCCAGATCTACCGATTCATTGATTCAGGAGATCAATATAAACCAGCCCTTTGTTGTTTCGGTGAGGAAGGTGCCGAATGACTACCAGTTTCGTGTTGAGCGGATGAGCCAGCAATTTTCCTGGGTGTTTTCACTTGCGGAAGCAGACCAGGAACTGCTGAGTCTCTGCTGTACTCAGTCGATTCCGTGGTTTTTCTAAAACTGACGGGGCCAAACCTCAGGGCACGCAGATCCAAACCGAGGCGATTCGGTTGGTTTCTGAGAGCCTCCTGTTCACGACTTAGTTCAAGTGTGGCAGAATATAATTCAGAGCGAAGAAATCGTGAATATGAGTCTTTTTCCATCAGAGCTTGAATGCGTTTTTGACTTTGGTCAAACGTATTTTTCGTGACAGAATCCATGTCTTTTTCCAGTTGAAGGCGAGTGCTTGAATCCAGATTAACCTGTTGAGCAAAAAAGGTCATGAATTACACATGAGCTATTTTTAACGACCTTTCGTTGACAGTTATTTAGTCGTAAAGCGAAATATTTCGCTGATTAAATGGAAACCATTTTTAGACCGAGGTCCTTTATTGAATCATGGTGAATCATAAGGTGTTTCGCATTCCGATGTAAACTATTGAGGCTAAACGGCCATTTCAAAAATTTCTTCGCTTGACTTTATCAGCTCAAAAAGTTAGATGTTGCAGGAACGAGATGTTCCCCTCGTTTATGCTACAGAAGGATTTTTGACGGTATCACACTTTTGAACGTTAGCCAACCTTGCCACTAGGCTTGATCCAGTAACTGCCCAAGCGATCAATAGATGGGTGATACCTATTAAATTAATTCACATGATTACACATGGTCAGTGGTTGTATTGCTGGACTCACAAAGCATCAGAGCATTCATTTAATACATGATAAGTGTTATTGTTACGTTTAGTGATCAGGCGACTAGCCCGCAAGACACTTCTTAATTTTGTTCAAGTACAACGCAGCCCAAACTGACAGATTTCACGTTGCATTATGATTAGTCGGGTTTATGATTTCCCCTGCCTAATTTTAGTGTAAATTTTGGTGAAATTTTTTACTCAAATTCTCGGGTTAGTTGCTGGTCTACATTCTTAGCAAGTGGTGAAGTGAGACTACGAAGTGCCATCCATCTTGAGGTGCTTCAGCGGAGTATATGGGGTAGTGTCTTGGCCCGGTATTTACCAAATCGAAGTGCTTTTATAAAGAGAAACGTCAACTTAATTACGTGCAATATGGAAACGTTTGTAGGGCAGTTTTCGCTATGCCTGAAGGAATGGTGTCATTACAACACCAAACTCCACGGGAACGAAACACTAGCACTTTCGATTTTGTTGTAAAGTTCAACAACCAATTCTGGTGGAGGCCGATGCTCCTGCTCACCTGGTCCAGTAAGTATGGAAAGATCTGTAGTACAACCGCTGACCAACAGAACAAACAAGAACTGTTCTAATGATGAACCCAGATATGGCGGGGCTAGGATGAAAGAAGTGTACAAAAGAAGGTCTTTCATGTCTCATTACTTAGAAAATTAGTCCATAGGTCCATATTCCACAGGCCAAGAGAATACCAGAATATCCATTTACTTGACAACATTTCATACAGCGAGCCACCAAACGAGCTCGACATCTAGTATCCCAGTATGAAAACACTGGGAGGCGTGAAGGCATCCAATGAGACAAAGACATTCAACTATGCAGTTGCTTAGGTCGGTTCTGTCTCCATGAGAACGGTCTAGGATTGATAAACGTACGAGCCCATGATTCCGCATTTTTCATCAAATGAAGTTTTTTGTTTGTTAGCAGGAGGGACTGACAATCGAAATCCCGCTTTCAGCTTCGTCCACCTTGTGACATACCTGGTAGACTAAGTCCTTTGACCGTAAACATCAGTTTGTGCACGAGCACAATGACTAATGATTTACGGCAATCATCCAACGTTGAATTCAGAGGGATAGTTCAAGGTTTTGTCCTCACGTTGGAACCATTCTTACTTGTTTGTGGATGTTGAAGGGATTCATAATATGCACCCATATACATCGGAGCAAAAAAATCATTCTGTATTGTCTGGACAATCTGAACAACCACATATGCTAATTCTCTATCAGCTTCTAGCAGCACAATTTTGGGACGAAAAATCCATTATTCATCACCATCCGAGCGAATTATGACCTTGTCCTCTAATTGCCGATCCGCTGTTTCAGTGTAAGAGATACTCGTAAGTTGGCATGCATTTGTGATCCAATTTTGACCGCATGGCTTCACGTGATATGAAAGATTTGGTCAATCTGTTTAACAAAACTCGATCTAAGTTGTACACCGAAAGTTCTACCTTCAAGGAAAAGGATGTTTGCATTGACGTGATTTTCACGATTGGAGAGAATACCGCGATTATAACGGAATGTCAACGAATGAGGTGAGTGTTTTCGGGGTGTACTAGCCGGCAACGCCAGCCATAGAAAGACCTCAAAGTTGTTGGGCATTTCGCACTCAGTTTGTCGGTGGCCACTTACAACAAATTAGTATGGGCTTGGAAAATATATGGAAAGTGGATTACACAATCTTAGCCCTCTTGACAACTTTTGAGGTGGGTCATTATTGTCTCATCGTAAACCCACATAATCAAGCATAGTACACCTCACGTAAAACGCTTCCAGTGGGCTTTTGATAATGTGATTAGTTAAACTATTTGTTTTTCGGCCGTTGTTTGTAAAAGAATAAAAATGTTCAAAGATTTGCTTCTTCACTTCCGGGTTTGTTTTCCTTATGAAGCCAACTGACTTAGATCCTATTCGATAACTCTATGTAGTACCAGAAGGTGTTTGATACAACAGTGTCAAGCAACTCCTTCAGCTGCGATAGCATACTTTCTAGACCAATTGGTAGCATAACATCTGAATGCAATCGCCAGCAATTGCCTCCCTGATGAACAGTTTCATTCCGCAAACGTAAAATTTTGCCTCTTAGTGACAAAAGGTGATAATTTATAAACAATTTCTCGTCCTTTACCTGCCAATGCTGTACGAAAGCAAGGATCCTGATTTCATTTCTCATGATTTTACCAGTCAAGTCTGTTGTGCCATTCGAAATGGTATTACCGGTTAGTAGGACAATGTTCTACGATGGCATCAGAAACATGAATGCCAAGACCATCTAAAAGATGTGGCATGGTGTGCAATGACTTAAAGGATTAGTTGAACCCACTCAAAGTGGTGTGATAGATATGATAGGCTCACAGGGGACATTTAGCCCGTGATAGTCTCTTTACGGTTCTTAAAGCAGAGAGCTTATATGAAAGCCTTTCCCCAAGTGTGACGGAGTGGACATCAGTTCGGACTTTCTTGCAGCATACGAACTCAATAGAAACAAGTAGCTTTTAGCAATAAATTTCATATATTCGCCCAAGTATACAGTAGTATATCAAGTATACTCTAACCCGAACTAAAGGATCTGCGACCGCCTACCTCCAAATGTTTCAAAATGGCACGATTTTATCCCTCCACTGCTATACCAAAACAGTACTTCTGTTGACTGTTTGTAATGTTTCTCAAAATTTCAAAGTCGTCTAACCAGCAGCCTTGAAAATAAATATTCCAGATGGCTGATTTGTGAGACGTTTCGACAGTACAATGTCCGGCGGCATCCAGTGTTTTTCACTTTCAGAGAGTATGGCCGAAAAGACAAATAGGCCAAAAGGACCGGTTGTGGGTTATTACACTATAGTGAAGGCACACCACAGGATGTTGGAACTGATGGTGCTGCGTTCTAATTGGGTTCTAACAACATTTCTCCTAATCGGTAGGAAGAAAAGACCTTAATTTAAGCGGCTTATGCAGTTATGTCGCAGCATATTTTGTCATCAGTTCTTGATGTTTACGTGTGTTTATGTGCGACCAAGCTACCTAGTTTATTCATTCATGGCGGAATTCAAAATGAAGCTGCTGGATTCCCCTAAGGACGGAAAATATAAAGTTGTGATAACCGAAGACAAGTTAGGAATTCTTTCACGAAATAAACTATAATGAGCTTAGAGGTATCAGGAAACTGGACTCAATTTAAAGGACTACAGTGTGGAAACTCGTGAGACTCTTCATATAGATTCAAACCTATTTGATGAACAGGAACCTCATACGTTTTTCCAGCTTTTTTCTCCACTGACCTGCTTTCTGGTCACTCAATTTCTGAATGATCGCGAGTGACTAAGCTTTAGTGCAAATGTAACCAACCTATGTGGCAGACCGGTCACAAACAAATACAGAAAATGATTTCACTACAAAGCTCACATTGAGCTTTACAATCAGTTATTGAAAAGTAGCATTCAAGCCTCATGATTTCGCATTAGAGTCTGCTGCACAATAATAATTTCTCGGAACTCCGTTACCACTTGATCAACAACCAATTTTCCGAACAACTTTGTTCTACACGCATATAAATAATATTGTTACTGGTTTTCGAATGTTTTAATCAAAAGAGCTCCGAAAGTATTCGTGGCTGTAGACATGGCCCAATTGATGTTATGAGCATGCTGAGTCCTTTGCAATGTAAGACAGCTCAGTATTATGATACTAATCTCTTATTTATGGTGCTTGGTACGTCGAGAGTTGTAATTAACTGGATATTAATGATTAATGGCAATGAACAACCGAAAATGTCACAAGCTATTCAGAGTAGACAAAAAGCAACTCACCTCTCGCTTGGCTTGTGCAGCAACAAATTCATTGAAAATTTTCTGTGCCCGAGTTTGCAACTTCTTCGAACCAACGCTATTTCGAAAGTCTTCGCAAATAAGCCAGAATTCAATATTTTCATCGCTAAACTCCGTTCGCAGAAACTCCCGAAATACGAGAATTCCGGCTGTTTAAAGAAGTATAATAAAACTCGAAGGAAGGAAAAGATTGCTGCGCTTTCAGGTGAAACTAAGTCTCCAGACCAAGACCAGCTAAGACCATCTGAATTTTCAGCACACTAAAATCGACTTGACCAGTGGCTCTGGGTGGATCACCGAGAAATTAATGGAAAATTGGAGGATCGTGACTGTAACTTTTTTGTTAGTCGACAGGGGACCTGCGCCAACTTTCTCACATCTTTTGAACATGAAAGTAGAAGTAACATTGCAAGTTCTATCAATTATCGCCGGCCAGCGAGTAATCACTGGTGGCTGGTTTGGTTCGGGAATAAAATTATTCCTTGTCGAATTTATGAGTATGATTCTTCGGTTCACTAGTCCTATGGTCATCCGTGTAAGCCTTCATAAGGCCACATGATCTTTCGTTCTGTTTCTCTGAGACGAACCTAGGTTAGGGGAAACGTATCACAAGACTGAAACTTCAGAAAATCTAACGGAGCTTTGCGGTGGGCCGTTTTTAACGTATTAATTTATTAATACATTAATTAATTTATTCACGGCTAGCTATTGGTTCGTTATAAAAATGCTGGAGGTTGTGCAATATGTTTATTGGATCAAGCAGCCTAAGGTGATTCAGATTACGCATGTCCTGAAAATCAGCATCCAAATGCAGAGGACGCAATAGGCGCACGCTTGAGTGCACGATACCTGCAACACACCCGGCATAGGCGATTTCTCCAAAGCTGTGTGTAGAAGGAAAACATTTGAGGTAAAGTGTTACATTTCTCTGCGTATGTGTTCAAACCACATAGGTCCATAATAGGTCTTGCCTTTGGATGGAGTAGACAAAACAGTAGGTGGAACGGGTCTATTGCTGTCAAGCAATACGCGAAGCATTGGCTGATCATTCTGGTTACGTCTGAAAATGAATATAGACGATCTTCCAATCACCGCTTGCCACCATGTTGACAGCAACATGGTTGGACAAATACAACGCTTCATTGAAATACGGAACATCGTCGTCTGAAGTGCGGGATTCCGTTAACCTCAAAAACGCCGTAGCTTCCGAGATAACATTTTGATTCACTGAATGCTGATCTATCACATGGTGTACACTAACACCGCCAGCCACCACCCAAACGACACCAAGTTTCAAGAATTCGCTTATCTGCAACGAGTATGCCTGTAATTTCTTTTATCACGACTATTCATATGACCCAATGTAGAGAATCGACTTCCATGCTTATTGGTTTTATAGGAGACCATCGTGAATCACCAGCGTGCTTTCAATGGCTCCCTCAAATGTGTATTTCTGGTTGCTGGGTGGAACCGAAAGGCGTGAAACACAGACCAGGGGATTACCCACAACTCTTGTTTCAGAATACGAAATTGCTGGAGAATAGAAGCACGGATATTTCATAGAGTGAAAAAGTCAGCTTTATGAAGTTTAAACAATCTCGGTCGGATGAAACTTATTTGTGCACATTTCAGCCCACCTACCAATCACGTAAGGACTTTCATTTACTCCAATCTTTCCAGTTTATTGATGCCAGAACCAGAAAGACATCACCAGCTACACAGAAGCCACTCACACCTCTATTACGCTTGAAACCAGTTGGATAAAATGATAAACTCATGTGATATCCATAATTCTGCCGAGACACCCATCACGGGTGAAATGTCGTTTGATGGTAATTTTGTCGCGCAATTGAGTGCAAACTATCTGGAGATCAAAGTTTTCATTTTTTTGAAGTTGATTGTGAATGAATTTCTAAAGCTATGTTTAAAAAGGTTCACTAGCTATAAGGTTGAATAAAACTTTCGGCCTTCAGTTTCCGTCATCTGCTACTGCGAACCAGAAAAATATATATCTTGAATTCTTTACTGTGAACTCAGCTGAAGCAGGGAATATCTGAGTAGCACGCCAGCGTCGTCTCGGCCAGGAAATTTGACATTATTTGGTCGTTCGAATTTTGGGTGTACGTTATTTCACTTTCAACACGAGTGCTTCAGTAGGCCAGTTGAACAAGGTACATGGGTTGTCAAGTTTGAATTCAGATGAAAAATCTCGTTGGGAACGCTTGTTCTTTACTGAGGGCTACGTCATGTTTGCGTATCGATTAGTTGACCTAGTGGTCAGGTCGGGTTGATGAGTGTTATGACTAGCAAGATAGATGGATCCATTACTGGAATTGGCTCAACGTTAGGCACATCACGTTCTGCTTCAAAAGGTGTCGGTGGCGATTCTGTTCATTGCGGATGAGCGAGCATCATAACCTAGAGGTCAGGGAGTGACGGTCGTAAATTTGTATCACAGCTGACGAGTAATTCTTCAGGTCTGGGCCAATTTGAATGAGAACTTTTCTTAGTGTAAACGGTCGTCCAGCAGTCATTTCAGTTTGATCGAGAATGCATTCCAAGCTTACCAGCCTTGTAGCCGAAATTCAACTCAGCCTTTGATATGAGGCTTCTTCCACTGTATTGAATATGAAGCATAGCGCTCACTTCGAATTAGTTAATTTAAGTTTGTGCCCGTTATCCAACACGTGTAAGTCTTCATCACAGTTAAAGAGGAATATTCATGTCTTGCTAATCAGTTAACCTTCTGTGAGGACGCGTCCAGACACGAAAAGTGTATGTGCAGAGAACGACGCGTTCCTAACTTCACCATCGGTCACCATACATCCCGGATAGCGGGCACAGCCTACCAAGAATTGATTAGCAGCATGTGAACGGCGGAGCAGGTGTGAAAATGGTCACGACAGGAAAATCTCCATTAGCTGGACAAGGACGAGCAAAGCGAGTAACCAAATTGGACCACTCAGCCATCCTATATATATACGCACTATCTCTGCATGTTTGCCTGAGAGCGCAACCGTGTTCTTGGTCTTCTCCCTCCTACTTATCGCGTAGCCTGGTAGGCCCAATTCAGGCCTACGTTACAACGACTCCATAATTTACCCGCTTGTTTTGACAAATCTTCGAATCAGTGTTTTCAAAGCGCTCCCCAACTCACGCGACTGACGGCTTTATTCTTATGAAAATAGATGACAGTTTGCGGTAAATGTTTCACGAAGATTCGTTGAGGATAATTTAAGGATAATTAGCTATCCACCTAATTTAGGCTAGTTGACTTGTGACCAGATGACTGATAAATGTGTAAGAGTTGTGACACGCTGGCCAAATTAACTTTGTTTAGTTGCCTGTGTTTCACGTGAACAGAAAAATCGCTCCAAAATAGTCTATAAGAATAGAAGGTTCAAAGAGAAAGGGAGCATTAACGGATGACCTCTCACTGGAAAGCTAACTCGTGAGGAGATTCTCGTTCCCACACTTCTGTTATCGATTTAAAATCCTTGAGAATCATAACCATCGTGGATTTTCTTCTTCTCGAAGCACTCGAGTCAAGTTGATGTTCAGAATTTTTTGGGGTAAGAAGTTGCCACACCATGTCTGGCGTTTTATTCATCCTAAGACGACTTTCGTATATTAGGGTCTACAAAAGCTGTATTTAAATGGATTTGCTAAATCAAGAGTACCTATTGCACTTGGGCATGAGAACTTGCAGTTGATAGATTTTACAGCACTCGCTTAGAGAGACCGACTCAATAGTCCGGAATTAAACCATAAACTCTGAAATTTCCCTTTTCATATAGTTGGGTACAATAGTGGTTTAAAATGTGCTAGCACACCCTAAGTCCATAGTGACAAACGTGTCCTTTCAGATTATCCTAGTCTGTTGGCGTCTCTCGGGGAACAAGAGTGAATGACGATGCAATTGAAAATCTTCAGATAACAAGTGCCTTTCTTTCCAGATGACGCGTAGGCATATCACTCAGGCCAAACTTGCATCGCATTCTGCTGACTGTTACTGTAATATAACGCTGTTTCCTCAAAGCTACTGGTTTTACAACTGCTCTTCCGGTCTTGGGTCCTTATATGCAGACTGTCACGTGAAAGACGACTGAGCCAGAATAGCTACAACGGAAAAAACACCACAAAACGTCCCAGAAAATTATTATTTAGGCTTGAGTAGGACTGAAGAATCTGGTGAGTAGACATGCCTTGTCCCTTGTCCAGTACCCCATAGGTTTCTTCTATGGAAGAAAATGTGAAATACAAAGTGCACCTTTGTGTAGTTTGCCTGGTTCTTGTCGCTGACTTGTGATTCGCCTGATTGTGTTCCTCACTGAGAAGCAGACAGATTTTCAGCACATTCCGAAGTTCAAAACAAGCTGCTTCCTGGTGGCACAACACTGTCTCACTGGCACAAAAGCACTGCTCCGTCACGTCACCTTCAGTACCTGGAATAGTACTTATTAGCACTGGTTACTTTGTTCTTCCATATTAGGAAATTTTTTATCAGTATTTTACATATTTGAATCCGTCACCCTTGAGGTTTCCCTTACCAAATCACTACTCTCAGATAGTGCTTTCCTAACTTTGTTGCACAAAAAATCAAGTAATGCAGCACGCAGGAAAATCCTGTTTCCAAAAAATAGATGGGGACTGGTTCACACACAAACAGTGTCGCGTTTTTATAGTGCTTCTTTTATTGCGATGCAAAAATCTCCCTAGTAGGCTTATCCCCCCTTTCAAGAAGACCGCTTTCTTCCTCTCGGATAGTCCCCCCATCAAACATGTACGTGATCAGTGCCGAATAAAATTTGTTATTCAATCAAGTGATACACTTTGCGAGTGACCGAGAAGCTGCTGTGATTAGAAATTGTGTGAAGCAGTTTTCCTAAACGATTTTGCTTTTGCGATCCAAAAGGTATTGATTGCTCGGTAACCCATATAACTGGTGTAACTCCGCAAACGTGACCCGACCAGTAAAGTTTAGCTTAGAATGCTTAATTGGAAGGTCAGATTCCCGAAACTGACCTCAGAAAGCCCGGAACCTACTGGGACCCTAAAACTCCACCAAAATCGCAATAGAAAAGCCGGCAAGCATCCAGGCCAGTCAGTCATTCAATCAATTCAGCAAAAGCCGATGAGTGTTTATGCACGCCACAGAAGCACGACCGAATGTGATCAGCGTTCAGGCATTTCATAGAGGCAGGATCGATGATGATGGGTGTTCGCTAACGCCTATCAGACAGCCCGGATCAATGTCAGAAAGTCGCCTTTAAATAGCGTGGGGCAGTTGTAACTTTTGGTCTCTTATTCGCACGCACTCACTCGCTTGTTCGGAATATAGCTGTTGTATTCCCTTCTGCGAGCCTTTTTTCCGGCACTAGGCACTGGAGCGGGTCAGCAGCAGATACCACGGTTTGGCGAATCAACAGATATAACGTAAAGTGTAAAAAGGCATTTATTATGGACAAGTCACGAGTCATCCCACCGATTTGTCCTTCGTTCAGGCAAAATCTTGGGGAAAGTCTCGTTTGCTGGACTGTTTGTTGGTAGTCATCAAGTTATCCTATTCTGCGGAGACATATCGATTAAACTGTGGGGTAATCTCCGAGGTCGAGGTCAAAAGGGCTTTCAAGCCCAGTTTGAAGTTTTGAGAGTATGCAGAAGCTTTGTTTGATCACTGCAGAAGCTGCTGGTGTACGTGTTCAAGAGTACGAAAATATTTTATGCGTTCTGTGTACCGGTATCGGGACTCACGGCGTCAAAAAACAGGCGCTTTGTTTCATAAGAATTTCACTAGCCACGTCAGGCTATACAAATACCTCGATAATTTGTCATGAATTTTTAAACTGTATGAATTATGCTGAAATTTTATTTGGTCCAGTCAGTTATGTGACTGTGGACGGAATATTGCCGAAGTAACACCCGACTTTAAATTGTCGCCTGAAAACACGGTCGTTAGAACTTAAAAGAAGATGGTATAAGGGTACTCAGCTGTCGTTTGTATGACCAGATTTTTACAATGCCACCCACAAGAGCGGTGCGACCATTTAATTCACAGGTGAACCAACGACAATTCAGTAATTTAGAATTACTAGTCCCCCACAAAGTTCATTCAAACTGCTGTTCATGTCTTACTCATTCGGTGTAGCAAAATTTTAGCGGGCGATGTTCAGCATGGAGACTTCACAAAACACATAATCTTCGAAAATCGTCCTAGCTCCCATCACGCCAAGCTTGACAACAGATAGAGGCTTCCACACTGGACTTAGTGATAGTCGAAAAGATGGATTTCAAAGTGTCTAAGTTCAATGGGCACGCTGAACGAAAATGAATTTGGACCGGATAAATTCAGAAAGTGAACATTTCCATCAAGGGAAAAGACGAAGCAGGAGTACCGAGAAGCACCGAAGTCGTAATGTTACATCCAGCGCCTACAGGTTGAACTCGGGTCATGAGTATATTGATTAATGATTCTGTTAGCTTAGTTGTGGACAAGACGTGATTTATTGAAACATGCACCTGTTCTCAACTGTTACCCTAGCCTTGAGAATTTGTTTTGAATTCCTTGTGGTTTTCACATCCGAATTTCGGACCTTAGGGATCCACTTTTTCACATAAAGCTTCCGGATAATATTTAATGAAATCTAAATGATCTTTACTGAGAAGTACGTCAATCAACTATGAAACTGGCTGGAGACCGAAAATGTGACAACCACATGGATCATTTTGCACTATCTAGGACAGTCTTGCTCTTGTGTCATCGAGGTCAGATATTTTAAGCAGACCGACAGTTACCAAAGTGCATCTGAAGGCTATGACGTTCAGCAGTGCGGGAATGTATCAAACTTCCTCAATTAAAAAGTGCGAGAAAGCTGTAGAATTATATGGATCGACGCGTTTTAAAATGATACATTTGTTCGGTACTGGGAGATTTCAAATGAGATTCAGTCCTGTAGGTAAATTTGAGCCGGAAAGTCGAGAAGCAATGTACAGCTGGTTTATCGTTGTTGGAAGTGTGAGCAGTGTGGATCTGCAGGATCTCTAGGTAGATCCAAACCGCCAACCTCCGGACTACAAGTTGAAGACCTTGCGGTTCGACCGTTTTCTTTGCTTCACACAGGCCAGGTGGATTATTGAAATTTTACTCCATTCCTTTGAGTTTTATTCCTCTTGGACGCTCTACTTTGGATCAATTAAAGTAAACCTATACGCCTGAAAACACGGTCGTTAGAACTTAAAAGAAGATGGTATAAGGGTACTCAGCTGTCGTTTGTATGACCAGATTTTTACAATGCCACCCACAAGAGCGGTGCGACCATTTAATTCACAGGTGAACCAACGACAATTCAGTAATTTAGAATTACTAGTCCCCCACAAAGTTCATTCAAACTGCTGTTCATGTCTTACTCATTCGGTGTAGCAAAATTTTAGCGGGCGATGTTCAGCATGGAGACTTCACAAAACACATAATCTTCGAAAATCGTCCTAGCTCCCATCACGCCAAGCTTGACAACAGATAGAGGCTTCCACACTGGACTTAGTGATAGTCGAAAAGATGGATTTCAAAGTGTCTAAGTTCAATGGGCACGCTGAACGAAAATGAATTTGGACCGGATAAATTCAGAAAGTGAACATTTCCATCAAGGGAAAAGACGAAGCAGGAGTACCGAGAAGCACCGAAGTCGTAATGTTACATCCAGCGCCTACAGGTTGAACTCGGGTCATGAGTATATTGATTAATGATTCTGTTAGCTTAGTTGTGGACAAGACGTGATTTATTGAAACATGCACCTGTTCTCAACTGTTACCCTAGCCTTGAGAATTTGTTTTGAATTCCTTGTGGTTTTCACATCCGAATTTCGGACCTTAGGGATCCACTTTTTCACATAAAGCTTCCGGATAATATTTAATGAAATCTAAATGATCTTTACTGAGAAGTACGTCAATCAACTATGAAACTGGCTGGAGACCGAAAATGTGACAACCACATGGATCATTTTGCACTATCTAGGACAGTCTTGCTCTTGTGTCATCGAGGTCAGATATTTTAAGCAGACCGACAGTTACCAAAGTGCATCTGAAGGCTATGACGTTCAGCAGTGCGGGAATGTATCAAACTTCCTCAATTAAAAAGTGCGAGAAAGCTGTAGAATTATATGGATCGACGCGTTTTAAAATGATACATTTGTTCGGTACTGGGAGATTTCAAATGAGATTCAGTCCTGTAGGTAAATTTGAGCCGGAAAGTCGAGAAGCAATGTACAGCTGGTTTATCGTTGTTGGAAGTGTGAGCAGTGTGGATCTGCAGGATCTCTAGGTAGATCCAAACCGCCAACCTCCGGACTACAAGTTGAAGACCTTGCGGTTCGACCGTTTTCTTTGCTTCACACAGGCCAGGTGGATTATTGAAATTTTACTCCATTCCTTTGAATTTTATTCCTCTTAGACGCTCTGCTTTGGATCAGTTAAAGTAAACCTATAGATGTATATTTGTAATGTACTACTCATAAGGTTGCTGAAAATCCATCGACAGCCCACGACCGGTTTCGCCCTTCTTGGGGGTCATCAGGTAGGCACAGTCCCCGGGTTTCCGTCAACCTTATGTTCTACTTGAAACCAAATTGCACGAAGTTGGCGAATATACACTCATCCGCAAACTAATTTGGTTCTTTCGAGAGGCTCATCTGGAACCCAGCTGAATCGCTCGTTTATGATGTTCTCAAGCAACTGAGAACTGATGTTTTCAGTTGTGACTGACTAGGGAATAACAATTCTGTTGGGGATATCAATATCCCCCAGAAAACGCTGTTTTTATGTGTGCTAGCGAACTCCTGGCATCTTCAAGGTCAAACTATGAAAAATCAATGGCCTATTGATACTCCAAGGAAATTTAGATCCGACCACGTACAGGATACCATTCTTTCCACTGACTTGGGTTCGGAAGCTCTGGGCATCGCCTGTTGATCGTGTGTTGTTGGATTATTAAAGTTTGTGTCCGAGGTTCTCGTCTTCTTACTATTCGCCGTGCTAGGAGTCTGTATCAAGCAACATAGCTGGGGATAGAGTATTGCCACAATCCGCATTATCATATTGTTTGCTCGCTGCGTGACCGAACCGTAACAAATTCATTCTGGCGACAGCCGTTTCTGACCTTGATCGATTAGGCCTCTGATACTTTACAGGTCAGGAAGATAGGACGGCGTTTTTCCGAAGAGTGATTTTCTATGTTCTGGCAAACGACGTTCAGATTATTGTGCAAAACCAAGGGTGACCTGTATTTTTAGTGGCAGCTTTAGTTACCGCATGAAAAGTGTCAGGTTCAACAGATATGATTGCTGCTCACTACTAATCCGCCCCCTGGAACATTCCTTATCTGCTCTCCATGTATTTACATGGCACATAATAAATCCTCGAGGTGGTCGCCTAACTGATTTGTCAGTTTCCTTAGTTTATTCATGCAGCTTGTGCTACTCAAAGTGACTATTAAGAATACCGTACAAAAACATGGGTCACTTACATTTATCGTGGAGAACGTGGGAGAAAGACTGACTCCATAGTTCGACTTCTCTAGGTGTAGGCCAATGTGAGCGAAATATCTTGTTCAAAATCACACGATAATTTCCGTGCGGCCCCGATGCCAATGAATAGTACGACCCGGTTGCGGGAATCACAGGAGATCTGTGAAACACGGTAGTGCTGTAACGAGAAAGTTAAAAACGGGCTAAGAAACCGCATCACACGCAGTGCAATTCGTCATCGGTAGATCTCCAGGTATAGAGGTACGAAGTGACTTGAAACAACAGTTTTCATTAAGACTCATTGTGCGTGAAAATAACTGCATCAGTGGCCTTATTTGTGCAATTACATATTACCCACCCACACTGTCAGCTGAAACTTTAGACAGTCAACAGTGTAAATTGGTCAAAAGTGGGTTGCACCAATACTTAGATAACTCAGGTAGTCGTCGTATCTTTAGACGAACAGGTGTCTTTCATATGAGTCTAACTAGCTAGCTTACACAGTACACATGAATATAATTTGAATTGTTCCGGATAAAAAAATTATACAGAAGGCAAATGCATGACATGGGAAAAAACTTATCAGGTAGTTTTTGTAAGGTACAAGTAAAAAGGACAGTCAGTAGCTCAAGAATTTCCCAGTGTGGGCTTAAAGCCACTTCAGCCGTGTCGGCCTCCAGTGCTTAAAATGACCGATTGTCATTCTTATACTGAATGCGCATAAAATAGACCGAAAATATCAGTATGCTTTTGTTGAACATTACTTGAACTAGTTCCATTGTCTCTTGATACGGAATAAAGCAAAGCACCATGCATTGTAATCATTAAAGTATTAATTAAATATAACGGCTTGAAAATAGTACGGTGTACAATAAGGGTGCTGTTCATCAGGCTGATAGTTAGCAGTTTATCGTAACGGTTGTTCAACAGAATACCTGGTCTCATAAGAACGGCTCCAAAAGCATCTGTTAACAATGAAAACAGAGCATTTGAACAGTTATAAAGTAGCCCGGCAAATTGTTATCTCCTACCATGTGAGCAAGTTTCTCCCCCTCCCGCGTAATTTCTCAGAAGATCAATGCGAAAAAATGCCAATCACCGCCCTCCCACACAACAGAAAACGAGTCAAGGAACCTTGACACTTTCGGCCCTCCTCATCAAAGAGTGAGCACTAGTTCTCAGCATTAGTATATGTCCCGCCAACTAATTCCTTTTTAGCTGTGGACTGTCAAGATGCTCAAAAAACAAGCCTACTCCTGCTGGTCACTAAGATGTGCGCATTTCTGTTTCTGGTCAAGTATCTGTGCAACTGAGTGGTCCCGTGGCTTGCGTGTGACACCGCAAATTCAAAAGCGGTCTGTTTTTTTAAAGAACACCTAGGGGTACTGTGAATTCCCTGGTTTTGGATGAATTATAATCTGGCAAAAAACTGGTAGGCTTCGGATACCCATGTCACGAACCTTAGGGCGTTCCTGTCCCGTAAAGGTGAAAAGATTTTCTAGCTCATTGGAAGAGATGTCATCTAACGTAGATCCGTTGACGTTTATCAACCTTAGGGTAACAATATCAATCGCCGTTTCCTGAAAGTACTGTCGTGGACCAAATAAGCCCCAGATCGTGCACCGGTGCAGCTCACTGATAAACATGAAATGGATTTTTGTGGTGTTTTTTTACAAACCTCATGGTATGATGCCTGATTAATCCTTCAATACAAGTTTTCTTCGGGTGGAGTTCCTCTGTAAGTGAGGCCACTGTTCGCTGAAAAGCCGAGAAGCCCTATAAAGCTTTTCCAGCCTCACTAAGGATCAGTGGGAGTCCGCCTTTCACGAAACTCCAGGGGTTCTCGAACCCGCGACCTCCAATCCAGTATAGTTTGAACATTCATTCTTCAATCGCGAGATCCACAACACGTGGTCACTTGTGTTGACTGGTTCCTCCAGTTGCGACTTCCCAAATGGAAGTTTCACTCATTGGCTGTTATTTATTCTTTCTGTCCTGTCTTAGTACGAATTATTCACACTGAGGCTCAGCTGCGAACGACTGCAGGTTAGAAAGGGTTCGCTTTTCTTGAGATGCGCGATGCTCACGAATCCCAACGAATATGAAACATTTAAGGTCTCCGCGCCAAAATCGACTCGGATAGTACTGAAAAATTAAGAGCAAGGTAGCGTACTGGAAAAATGTGTTATGATCCGACGTTTCACTTTTCGTAGGCAAACGTTTTCAAGGGTTTCTACAATCAACTGTATATGAGTCATGTGCAGCGCCATTTGGATACACTAGCATGTCTTCCGGTTAGTGTGTTCCTGAGATCAGTTGTCAGTCAAACACGACCAGCGTGTGTTAGCTCTGCGTGCGTGTACGTGCGACTGTGTGTACTTTGCTTAGAATGTGCCTCCGTTTGTTGTGTTGACTTTGGTGCTTCATTGTTAAAATCCCTGTTTGACATCCGGCTACTAGCCGCTAACACTCAGCGAAGTAACCCGGGCCATAACAGGCCGCAATCTCGAACCTTTCAGCACAGAAATCAGAATAGCTCTTCAATATTCTCAAAAGCCAATTACCAATCCAAAGCAAGCTGATGCGGGAGAAGATAGGTGAACTGAATAAAGGCAAGTTGATCCACGTCACCATGGCGACAAGTGTGTGAGATCAGTTGGTGGTCAGACGCGACCGACATGTGCGGATGTGTTAGCTCTGTGTGCGTGTACGCGTGATTTTGTGTGGACTTTTCGTGCACTATGTCTAAACTAAGGTCTTACCTGACGTCGCCCATCCAACATGACAAGCTTGCCTAAAGTTCTTGAACTAACAATGAATTGAGAGCAAGAAGAGGACTGTTGGTTGTCTTGACTGCAAGCTATCTGCTAACATTAATCAGTAATGCCCAATGGGAATCCACAGAAAATCCACACATTCAGATAGGTACTTGTATTATGTGCATTATGTGTCTTCGCATCCACAACGTCGAACGCGCAGTTGTCGATCGCTGGTGAATCGTGTCAAGAAACTATGCTCGGATGAGTCCATACGAGCAGACCAACCGAAGCGACTCAGTCGGGTATTACAGCAAAATGAATACCCCATAAGGCTCATTGCCCAACAAATGGAGAGGATGCAACTCGGAACGGTGAGACGGAGAGACGAAAACCCAGGGTCACCGTGGGAATACCCAGACGCCATTCGAAAGAATCTTCGGGATTATGATATCAAATCATTGTCCCGAATCGATAACACCTCACAACGACACCTCGTAAGGACCGCGCAAACTGAGTCTACCGAATTCCCTGTGAAGAATATCCAGCCAAATACATAGGCCAGACTGCAAGGCAACTCAATGTGCGAATCACGAAGAACAAATGACATGCGCGCTTTCCTCCAATAAACACAATCGAGTTCAAAAGATCTGGACGCGACTCAGCCATTGCACTCCACGCACTCGAGTTAAGCTACCAAATCAACTCCGGTCAGGATTGCAGTCACACGTGAAGTGGGTATGTGCTGAAGCTCTAGAGATCAACACAACTGAACTGCATCATTGCTTAAATGATGGTTTGAACAAGAACACAGTGACAAACATTAACGTTTTTGGAACCTCGTCATCCGGTCAGTACATATCTAATGGTTAAAATAGGAACGAAGAATGAAATACACAGCCAAAATTGGTTAGTGAAATGCAAAACGTGGAGACACGAACGACTGGTTGTCTATGCCCCCTTACCGCATCCAGTTGGATGCTGTGAGACAGTCTAGAGGGCCATTGAGTGACTTGGCCGATCGATTCGTGTCACATGACCAAGGCAGACTCGGTGTTCGCACGGAACGTTTTTGAGAGCACACTACCGGGTTCCGCAGACGTATAGCGACTGTCTCGGCTGCAGTCAAGCCACCCCGTTGGATAGATACTGGCACTCTATTGAGTACATGATAAATGACATGAAATGGCTCATTCGGAATGAACACATGCCCGGTGTCAATTAGGTGGAACACAATTGGGCTTCTGGCTGAACTGTTGAGTCTAATGGTATTCCGTATTCCCTTCGAAAGTTGTCGTATCGCGCACCGCTGAGAAAGAATAGACAACCATAGTGTGGGTGAGGAACAGCATTTTTTCTTTGAGGAAAGGATTAGTTGTAAACCGAAACCGCAGAGTTTCAGCCGGTAACATGCGTTGTAGGGATTGAAACAAGCGACGATTGACTATATCCGCCAACACATCGCCTCTACATGGTAAACTCGAATACATTGGCTTCTTTCCAACGGTCGTAATAGACGGTTGGATAGGACTATCGAACACATTCTTAGCTATAAGTTTCCCGAGTAACCGTTGGCTCGGAGCATGTTAAGAACGTGCTTCAGTCAGATTCCAGTGTATCAGCGGCGCAAGTACGCCTTGCTCCGCTCGTTAAAGTGTGGATCAGCGTTCGTTTCCGTCTCAGTGGCACCAGACTCAGAGAGTTTGTGTACTGTCCCGTCCACGTGGGCTTTCTGTAGATAAACCTCTGATTGAACCCGTGGAAAGTTTAATCAACTTAACATTGTCATTTTCAAATTCAAAAGTGAACTGAATGGAGAGGTATGCTCGGTTGAAGTTGGTCAGGAGAGCCTTGCAGTTGGGCTTTTGAACCAAAGGCTTTGGTTGAGGACCCTAATCGTCCTCCCGTCAAGGTGTGGGCGCCTTGGCTATATCCCAGCCCTCGTACAACCATGGCATACACAAACCTGACTGAAAAATATCATTTACGTACCTTCGCTCAAAGTGCATAGGTCTGATCTCCCCATTCATTCGACCAAGCTCCAGTTGCCCATAAAAATATCACTGAACAAATGAGGAATCAAATTGGAATTGTACGTTGAACGTACAGCGAAGAATAAGTTCCTTGAAGGAGCTAGTGGGGATCGGGAGTGTCAAATCTGATGAGCCAATGTAATGGCCGATAAAATCCACAGTTTACAAGAGGGGGGGCGTTGGTAAACAGGGAAGTTACGTCAAAATAGCACATAAATCTGGAACCAATTTCAACATCTTTTATCAGCTCCACAAACCCAAAAGTGTCACGGAGACTATACATCATCATCAGCATCATTGTTAGCTGTAATAACCGCGTACTCGTCGTACAGTGGTTGTAGCTGCCGCAGTTTCGTTCACCGATGAGACTAATGATGGCTTAATTGTCGGCGTAATGGTTCTAAAATCTCGACCAACCGTTGGGCAGCTGCGTGATATGAGTAACGGCACATCCAAAATCGGCCTCAATGGAACACCTTTCTCATGAACCTTAGGTAGACCATAAAGTTGCGGGATTGTGGTACCGGCAGGTTTCAGGCGTTGGAATAAGACTTCAGAAATTAAACCTTCATTTTTCAGGCGCTTCAGACAGTTTGTTAGTTTTATCTAAATTGCTTGGGTCTGGCATTTTGCACTTTGCTCGTTGCTAGATTTTGAAGTGTCGTTCAAAATGTGCATCATTCTTTTGTTTATCAGATTGGCGTAGTTCCCGAAGAAAAACATCATAAACGTGAGATTCAGCTGGGTGAATATCCCATCAAAACGAAATTGGTATGCAGATGAGTGTATAAAAATTTATCTAGTTTGTCGAGTTAGCCACATTGTATGAACCCTTACTTTGCACATTAATGGCACTGGTCATACTATCCCGCTCCATCCAATGTGAGTGACCTTGGACAAAGCTTGAAAAACAATACTGGTTATCATCTTGACCTTGCGTACCAGCCTCTGTAGCGAACACCTGACTAACCTAAATCGATTGACGTTTTGAAATTTCCTCAAGTCTGGTCATGCTAACCAAGTTTACCTTGTGAAGGAGATGTGCAGCGTTTGACCATCTAAAACGGCAATAACTGTCTGTTGACTTACCAATGCTGGTCAGCCTGCAAAACATGTTTTCTCAGCTTATAAAAATGTTTAAGCCTCTTACCCCAGTGCAGCGAGCCTATTTAGCCACTGCCTCACTGCACACTTCTCTGGGGATGTTTGAATCGGTTGTCATTTGGAGAACAAAGTCTGTCGCAGCAAACACTGTGGTATTTTACCTGACCAGCGCTTTGGTTGCCTTGACACAAGTGATGGTTGAATTAGATGTGAAATCAACTGCACCTTACTTTCTCACTGTCTTCGGTTGCATTTTTCTGGCCAACTGTTTCTATCTAATGGTGTGTCTGTCCAGTGCTAAAGACAAGCACATTTCATGGGTATGCTTCACATTTTTGGCTCTGTACTATGGAATATGCCACGCACTGCACAACAATATGTTGGTTGTTGGTAGCAGAGAACAATTCTTGCGCGTCTTGCTATTTGCCTCCACGCTTGCGAACAACTTTGTCCCGTTTGAATCGCTGCTGGCTACCGTCAGTTCAAGAAATCGGAGTTGTCCCCCACAATGGATCCCTTTGACGACCGGATTGTTGCAATCACTGTTTGGGGGTCTACATCATCATCGGTTGCACGATGCTTTAATGGCTCCGGCGGATGCCCTTGGAGTCGCTGTTCATCTCTTTGGACTCATCGTCGAGATGCAGTCGTCATTTGTACGTAGTTAAATTGAAAGCCAATAACGTAGATTTCAAGCTACATTACAGTCATAATGTGAGTGAGACAGCACCACTAAACCAGGCTAACTTCGGACAGGGTGCACCACTGTTTTCATTTTACCATGAGAAAAATTATCTTCTCACTGTTGTTAACGTTATGTCTAGACTGTCAATAAATCTAAGTAATTCGCAGTACTTCTTGATTTGTTCCCGGAGTTTGTTAAATGATACTCAATTTATTGGATATGAGTCTACATAGACGTGAGGGGGTGAGAGTATTGTATTGTGCCTACGTGCAGAACTTCATTTTTGAAATGCGGTCTTAAGCTCTGCAGCCGAATGTTGTAAGTGGATATTTCAGACCGTAGGCGTTTCTATAGCTCAGTATGAGGTTCCTCCGGAGCCGGATTTCCCATATCTATAAAATGGACATAAGTTGTGGCTAAAGAATTGAACTAAATAATTCGATGATGGTGTTTCTTTCAAACATAGGAAAAATATTCCTCCTTAGACCTTCATATAGGTACATAGGTTCTACCGGACATTCAGGTTTAAGTGGGCTTTCCAAGTCATCACACATATTCACTTTAGAATTAGCCTCCATAAAGCGATGCGTAAGCATGTGGTGTGTATGGGCTGCGGATTTCTGACAGCAGTCTCTGTACATTTGTCACAGGCCAATTGAAGAGAGTGGACTGGAATAAAAAACTAGATGTTGCCATATTATTGCAGCTTGACTGAGAGAAACATACTAATACCAAACGCTCGCACCAGTGCGGGATGGGATAAAGGTTTATAGAATGCTTTGAGTAGACCGCAAGGCTGGTAGTGTATGAGATCAACACAGTAAGGACTTCGGATCGATCAAACAGAAGTAAAACTGGCAGAAGTGTCGGTGCGGTGGGCGCGAACTCTGCACATCACATTTTGAAAAAATTAGCAAACAAAGAAACAGAAGAATTGCTTGGAGGTCAGTGATAAAAATAGGCAACAGTATATGGCAAACATAAAGCACCGGTGAGCACAGAATGCTATTCATATATTATCGTATCGAAAACACTGTACAGTAAACTTAGTCGGGACGGCAACTGCTGCCTCCCTGGATGGGGACCCCGGGACTCAACTCACTAATGACCAGTGACACTAGCAATAATGGCGCAATCGCGCAGTCAGTGCTGTTCGTGCATCAAAGCCATCACCTACAGTGCGTAGCTATCCAATTTCCGAGCAAACTGAATATGTCACCGCCTCCAAGGCTTGGCTGCATGCCCCACACTCCCGTTTTCCGGTGGCTGAAACTGTAGCAGCTGAAACCAACGTATTTTGACACATGATTTATGGCTAATAAATTGATTGAATTGATTGATCGTAATCACATATTCATACTTATCCATCTTAGTAGGGAGTCACGAACACTATAGCCATAGTGCCTGAATTTGAATTTGGTACCACATTGTTAGACGCTTTGGAAAAAACGTCACGTCATTCAATTGACCACCACCTAGTGATATGGTCGGAAGCTCTTGTTGCGTTAATAGAACAATGGCCCGTAAGGCCATGTTTGGCATGACTTTAAAAGTATGACATACTGGATTTCAAACAAGATCATACACCGCAATTTCTATTGATTTCTATTGATTTCTATTGATTTCTATTGATTTTCGCAAGAGGTGGCAAGGCATTCTCTATAGTCAGCATGGTCGCACAGGCTGTGCACGCTTGACAAATGCCGGTTAATTTCAAATCCGTGACTGAGTAGTCCCGAAATGCGTGAATATCAGCGAGTAATATTAACACCCTGGAACATACACTGTCATTTCCGGGAGTGAAATTTAAAACATATGGGTTTCTTAGGGAGGTTAACCCGAGAATCGGGGTCAAGCTGACTAATACTTGTAATAATAAGACACTAAATTTTAGCCTTCGTAACTGATTGACTTGTTTACAAATGGAGTTTATATTGTCCACGAGTCGATTCGGCAGGATAAGTTGAGCGTAAATTTTGTCCTCCCTTATCAAAGTCTATTAAAGCCATCTGGTGTAAAGCCAACAGTTCTCCATCAAGTAATATTTTTTTCTAAAACCCCGATTCCCCGTTCCATCTCCGAAAAATATCCTGGGTCCCAGCATGAATTCAACTTGCCCTATTGTGGAATTGACACTTATCAGCCTCTACTAATAAAGAATTCAGTGTACGTTCAGTTTGCCTGTTAGCCGATGGGAAAATCCAAACTGCCGACAAACATAGATGAGTTTGTGGTGGAACGCGAAGAATTTTGCTTGGTGTGTATGGTTGATAGTACGTGACTGACGAATGGGTGTTGATGACAACAATTCTTCACTTTTGTCGTGAATGAAAGTTCCGCATGTATCTGATGGGGTCAAAATAGTGTGGAAGAAGTAACATAAGGTGCCTTATAAGTTGAGAGTTCCGGGTCAAGTTCATATTGAATGAAGAAGATCCAGCAAGATGTGGTAAAAATTTGGTCAAGGGCGGCGCAGTGAAATAAGATGTTATAATCCGGCTCTTCGGTTGCCGTGGACAACCTTGAAAAGGTCGAGGAAATTTCAAAACGAAAGGCACGTCGCTGAATTAAACACATTTAGCAGGATAGATTCATCTACGATAAGTGAGTACAAAGCCTCGGAGACAAAGTACGCGGTTGCTAAATCAAAAGGAATATGCCATTAAAAATAACGCATCTGGTATGTACTAGTATTTTACGGGGGATTTCTGTCTCTAATATCTGATGGGCGCTCTTTTCTGGAAATATGCCGATTATTTTTCATCAAGCATGCTGCCCTTAAGGTAGGCTTCTGTAGTGACAGATAGGCTTCCCATGCACATAATGTCTTAATAGTTTTTTCTGAGTCCTTGTGCATTTGCATTGCATTTGCATCGAGAAAGGTAGACCATATCAGTAACTTTCGGTTGTGTAATTTAGAAGGCAGTAGTAAAACCTTGAACATTGAAGAAGGCAAGCTTATAGACAGTTGTGGAAAGACTCAAATGTAGAAATCAGCCGGTCCCACCCGGTATAAAACAGAAAGTTATACACGTGTGTAAGCGGTCATTTAAGACTCATTAGGGATGAATTCGTCCAAAATCTTCGTCACTGTATATTTGAAGCGCCTGCGCAATGCTTTATGAGAAGGTTCTCAGACGCAAGTATAACTATGATTGACACGATACTCGTGCGTGTTTGTTGAAATCACTGAAAAAATTCATGGGACCCACCATGTGAGCACATGGCTTTGTAAGCCTGTTGAGGTATTACGTGGTTCATTAACCTTTTCACAGAAAATTAAATGATCTATGGTTTTCGGAAATTTCTTCAACAAAGGGTCACACGTTAAGGATTTCCACTGCGAAACACGGTTAAAAATGAGCAGTCACCCTTCCAAGTCGCAGACGGGCTTATAAGAGGACAATGGATAAGTCTCCAGTTGCCGTTGCTTTAAAGATCATAGTTAGAATTGTTTGGAATTATGAAGGAATTTCATCAGCTGAGGCAATACGGTCCGGTCTGATTTTGTTTTATACGTCAATACAATTCAGTTCAAAAGAATAATAATGTACTCGGTTTCCCTGGGGATGGATTCCTCATAGGGTTCGTGTACCAGATACCGTCGATAAGATGGTGAAGAAATCCCAAACGGACATTGCAAATAGGTCAGAAGATAAAAAGGTTTCACTTTGGGACAATTTTGGGAAACCGTCGGCCCAGTTGCTGAACGGTGACATTTCTCACCGACAAAAACACTTTCAGGTTACCTGAGTAAGTCATATGCTCGATTAACGTTTAAAGAAAGCAGAGTGTGTACTCGTGTTTGCGATGTGTTTAAAGGCCATGAGAAATCAGCAGACGCTTCATTGTGGAAGACATTCTCTTCCACAATGTAAGAGGGGCTTCATGTGCACCTGGTCACCGTTCTAAAATAAGTAAATTTAGCAGCCCTGAATTCTCATTAGCACAACCGAAACCTCCAGAACTTTAACGTGTACATGTAGTATTACAAGTCTAATCAACGGCGGAGAGACACGATAGATGAAGTTTAAGAGTAGAATTATTTTCTTAACAGGAAAAACTAAGTTCATGCAGGTTAACTTGCATAGCGAAAGCAAACCAGAGCCATACTGGCTGCTGAAAAAGTACAACGTAAATGTTTTGACAAGAACGATATGTTATTCGCACTATGAGCTGCCCGGATTCTTAGCAGATATGTTGAAAATTTCTCGCCTATGGATAGATGCCGCATAATAAAAACTCGATCGATTTGATCACCAAAGTCGTGGGTTTTCCATAAGAATCAGAGGGCATCCGTGTCATTTTTTGATGCTAACGTATTTTATGCAAATCAACTTAAACTTCACTCTAAAAATATACTTGTCTAAATCATGCAACCTACAAACACAGACACTCACAGTGCACAAGCCCTGACAACGGTTCGGTCAGTTTGTTTCCGCTTCAGCATTTTTCGCTCAGAAACGGAGCCTATCCAGCCAACTTACGCACTATTCGCGTTAGATAGATGACTTCAGTCTAAATACACTGGCTCTATCTGGACGTCAACAGAAAATTTGTCGACGTCAGCTAGACATTAACTTCTTCGTAACTGACCAGGATAGGATCATTAGTTTCTAATGGTACTAGATCTTCTCACCCTCCACAAACGTCGATTAAAGATTAGGCTCACGTCGGGTACATCAGCTTTCCTAGACCAATTACTAGAATCCAACAAATACTGTGGAAGGGAGAAGGCCTTCGCTGCGGAGTTATTTACTAGAAAATGCCAACTGACCGGTTACAGACTATTGGACAGGGAAGCAAAGCTCTCATTTGCATCTTATTCAAACAACTGGACATCCATCTTCTCCTGAACGCGTCTTCTTAAACTTTCCTCGATATTCATGGACTCCAATCATTCACTGCTCAAAGCCAAGCAAATGCTACAAAGCGAATTCACAAATTCCGCAACAGATCTCCCCTTTTCAAGAGACGCAAATC